TGGTAGGTTGTATCATGGAGTTTCTCCTCCATGTCAAAGACTGCGTCAATGGACATCATAGGCAGAATGTCGTTGAGCTCATTATGGAGATCCTCTCCAGTCTCTCCACTTATTTTGCTAATTATTTGATGGACCTTCTTGGTGAGCACTTTTGTCTCCCTAACGGCTTTATGGTGTGCCAACTTGTCAGGTTTTTGGATCATCTAAATTGTATAAATAACATACATATGTAGACATGATACTTGACTGAAAATAGACATTTAAAGGGTGACAGGTAATAAGGTCAATGGAAATAAGGTCAATTGACATTATCACCTCTTCAAAAGCTAAATAAAGTCAACAAAAATTTTGAAATAAAGTCATTGCCGCTATTTTCTCATTCAAATGGAAATAGGGTCAGCAATGATTAAAGTATGTCGATTCATAGAAAAAAATGTTGTTCTTACAATAAACATTGCCCCGTAAGTGTTGTTTTTTAATAGATGAAATTTATTGCCAAATCCTCAGTGTAGTGATATTAATCCACACCCAATCAAGAACTACCACCAATTGATTTTATTAAAAAAAAATTTATTACGAATATGCAAAAACACGATGCGTTAACTAAACGCCTGCGCACAGCTGGAATACGAGAAATATCTGAAGAGTGTAGAAATGATCCATAACTTGCAAAACATGTTTCGTTTCCACAAAAATAAAGCGAACACTATTAAATTGAAGAAACAGTCCATGTCCAAAAACGCCGGAGGAACACTGAAAGAATTCTGTGTTTAAAATTAGCATATTTTCCGCAAAATCTTTCTCTCGAACACTCCAAAAGCCGCCTCATCGGATGTTGTCATTGTCAATGCTTCTGGGCCATACACCAGCACGGGCATGATGAGTGACTTATAGAGCGTGGTTTTCGTACGTCGAGACAGGACTTTACTCCTGAGTTGCGTACTCAGTCCAAAATAGCACTTGTTGGCACGAGTGATTCTGCGTTGGATTTCCATGCTGACATTATTATCGGTGTTAATGCTGGTTCCTCAGTAAACGAAATTCTCTACTTTCCCGAAATTGTAACTGTCAACAGTGACGTGGGTGCCAAGCTGTGAATGTGCTGACTGTTTGCTTGATGACAGGAGATACTTGGTCTTGTCCTCGTTTACCACCAGACCCATTCGCTTTGCTTCCTTATCCAACTTAAAAGGCAGAATAGACTTCGCGGTTTTTGATACCGATGATATCGATGTCATCGGCATAAGCCAGCATTTGCATGCTCTTGTAGTAAATTGTTCCTGAGCGGTTCAGTTCTGCAGCTCTTTCTATCTTCTCCAACATGAGATTAAAGAAGTCACATGGAAGGGAGTCGCCCTCTCTGAAACCTCGTTTGGTGGCGAACGGCTCGGAGTGGTCTTTCCCAATTCTGACGGAGCTGGTGGTATTGTTCAACGTCATTTTACACAGCCGTATGAGTTTTGAGGGGATGCCAAATTCAGACATAGCGGCGTATAGGCAACTCCTTTTAGTGCTGTCAAAAGCGGCTTTAAAGTCGACAAATAGATGGTGAGTGTCGATCCTTTTCTCGCGGGTCTTTTCCAAGATTTGGCGTATTGTGAATACCTGGTCTATGGTGGATTTGCCAGGTCTAAAGCCGCACGGATACGGTCCAATCAGCTCGTTGAGGTAGGCACATTTTGGCACTTTTTATCCTCAATATGGCACTTAATAAATAATGATAGTTGGCAGCCCTGATTGGAAGATTTTTACTGTGCACCGGAATAGGTGACAGGTAATAAGATCCACGGAAATAAGGTCAATTTCCCAACCTGGTGCGAAATAAAGTCAATTGACATTATTACCTTTTTAAAAACGAAATAAAATCCATTGACATCATTTCTCTTTCTTCTTTCGCCACACCGCGCGCGCCGCGCTCTCGCCCCGCGTACCCCGCGCGATCGGCGCGGACACCACGTCACGCTACGCCGCGGCCCCGGCCCCCTTTCCCCGTCTCCCACCGCGCTGTAACGCAGGTAGATTTATTTTTTGTATACGTTGAAATAAATGTTTTATATATTTTAAACGTCGAGGGCTTATATTCAATAATACCCTCTATCTGCACACTTTTCACAAAGATGAAATTCTGACTTTAACTGTCATCAGTGATATTAATGCTACGTCATATAACGACAGGTAATAAGTCCCTGATGGTTTCTAAAATCGCAAATTAGTTTTTGTACAAATTGCAGATAGAGGGTATTAATGAATTCAAGCTCTCGATATTTCACATTTTTATGTTTGTAAGTTATTGGAAGCAGGGATGCCAACTTAGCTCAAACCGTGCCATTTGTCCCTATTTTACTTCAAATGGAACTTCATTTTTCAATTTGGCACAAAGTGCCAAAATGGCACTTTTGTAAAAAAAATAACATTTCAATACATTTTTGTGAAATCCGTTGCGTGCATTTCTTTTTCTCACCTAAAATTTTCCAATTTATAAAGGCTATTCAACTGGTTTATGTTATTTTATCATTGCACTTTTTTTGGAAAATGTAGCTTTATTTTATTGCTAAATGTGAATGATTAAAAGGAATGACACCTGTTTTGGCACTGCTGTGTTTTGGGGCAACGACTTGTCTGCAGTAAAAAAGGCTATATTATTTGTGTTTTTTTTTTTTATTGATTGACTGTCAACCTGTGCGGACGTGTTTTTTAATCGCTCCGCCGAGAAGTTATTAATAATTCACGTAAAGCAGGGGAAAAATAGAACAAACGCGAAAAGACAATACTAAACATAAACAAACTTCCTGCTTATTTGCCTGTAATTGTAAATTGCTTTTTCAGAATTTTCGCAATGCTGCGAGAAATTCAAATAAAAGTGCCAACATACAATAAAATAAAAGCAGCTCCGGCCCCACCGCGCTTACCGAATAGTGAAACAAGCACCAAGTGCAGTGAAACGAACCTTGCCGTAACAGAAGCTGACCAAAAGCATTCAGCTGATCGACGAAATGCTTACTTTTCGTTCGTTTCCCCCGCAAACAATACTGGGGTCGAATCGTGACAGACGTAAACGAGTCGGCAATCGTACGAACACAAATTACGTGATCGTTTAATCGAATGAACAATATCGGATGATAACAATCGAAGGCGAACGAATCGTTATTGTTTATTTGGTTATCGATTATTTTTCTCTTCTTCCTTTTTAAGTCACAATAGACATTGAAGTGTCAAAATAAGTGAAAAGTAAATAAAGAAAAGCGGCAAAACTAAAATGGAGCCGAGCCTTTTATTTTATTTAAGCTCTAGCGAAAGCGAAATGACGAAAGTGCGTAAGCAACTTCGGGGCAGAAGCAATCCATTGGCATTATCCGACATTGCGTAAGTAATTATACATAGGAAATAAATTACCTTCTCTACTCCTATACTTTCAGATTCATAAAAAGATTTCGGTTAAGCAAGGAGGCATTCCAGTATGTTTTATCGAAAACAAAAATAAACCGCGATGACACAAAAGCCGTTCCTGGTGCTTTGCAATTGGCTGCAAGCCTCTCACTCCTTGCAAGTGGTAACTATCAGCACACAGTTGGTAGCGATTACCTGATAGGTATGTGCCAGAGCACGGTATCAAAATTGACGTCCAACGTCTTAAAAGAAATGGAAACAAAATTGTGTCCGGAATTTATAAAGTTCCAGCCCAACGAATCTTCAAGATGTAAGGATGGTTTGCGGAAAAATATAATATACCTGGAGGTAGGAAGAGGCGTTCTAATGAAATGCGTAGCGAATCCAATGTTTTTCCTTTTAGTGGTTGGATGCGTAGACGGAACACACATTGGATTACAAAAGCCAATTAGAGAGGAGCACATGTACTTCAACAGGAGAGGTTACCATAGCCTTAACGTTATGCTAGTAAGTTTATTTTCTTTCATTTTAACATATTATTGCTAATATTCCGTTTGCCAGATTTGTGACCACACTTGCGAGATTCTTGCCATAAATTGTCAATATGGAGGTTCAGCCCATGACTCCTGAAAAGGTCCACCACATGTTATTGTTTGGTGAGGTTTTCCCACAAACGGTTGCTTTTCCCTGCGAGCATTTTGGGAGTAAATGCTTTGCCAAGTCAGGGTGTTCGGCCATGAGCTCCGCCATGAGTTCCTTCTGCGTAAAGTTTAATTTATTGTAGTTGGTCCTAACTGCCCGTCTCCACAGGATAAAGTTTATATCTTTATACATATGTTGCCAAAGGAGACCGCTCATTGTTCTTCAAGAGCAATATATATCAGAGCTTATATCTTGCCATCTATTGCCGGCAATTTGGTAGTTTGACAGCTACATGTTCATTTGCATGAAAACTTCGTGGCGCCAACATTATTGATATTTTAATATAAAAGCAAATATTGAACTGTTTTCGGTTAAAATATTTGTAATTATGTACTTGGATATAAAATAGACTATTTTCTAAATTTATTAAGTGAATAAATCCGGCAAAAATACGTTTTAGAAGCCATCTCACAGATGCTTATATCAAGATATAAAAAGCCCACACAAATATTGCCACTGATATAATTTATATCTAGCGACCAAAATGACAGCTGGACAGCAATAAATTTTATCCTGTGGAGACGGCCAGTAAAATAAGAAAAATAGCTATACACTTGTATATGTTTACACAAATTTTATAATTACTTACATTTAAAAAAAAAAATATCAAATTTTGCGCGCGTACGTTCGTCAAATATTAATCGAATGACAGTTCGAACGAATGAGTGCGTTCACTCGCTCGTTCACGCCTGTCATAATACCGAATTACGATATGAGAAGTTCGTTCACGTCTGTCACAATCGGATTTTGTCATTTTTACGTGACGAGTTGCTCGTTCACGACTGTTACGATTCGAGCCCTGATCGCGATAAATCGTTCTTGGCATGCACAGTCGCCAATGTCTCTGGTAGACCAAGTTGTTCTAACGCAACAACAAAGCACTAGCTTAGCAACAAGCACAGTAACAACGGTGTGCGCAGCTCTCACAACAACGACTACAACCACGACTTCAGCAATGACAGCGGTTTCACAACGCAGTTCACCAACACCTGCAAAAACGGCAATTTCGGCACCAGCCCAAGCCAAGCAACGCAGCTCAGCGCAAGTTGACCTACTTAGTCCAACAACCCGTACATTGTCTCAAACGGGTATTGATAGGTATATACAAGTCAAACGAAAATTAAGCCCACAGCAGAAAAAAATTGCAAATCCATCAAAAATTGCAAAAACCAAAACCACTGACATTAACCCTCTACTGGGAAATAAGTTTGCGATTCTGGACAATGAATGTGACAAAGAGCCGAATGAAGTTTCTAAAGCCTCCAATTTATTTACGAGAGCAAAACTGTAGTGAGTTCGTGAATAAATTAACTCAGCTTATTGGAGACAATACGTTCTACGTAACGTCAGTTACCAAGGGCAATATTAAAGAGACCAAACTTCAGATTCTAACTGAAGAAAACACCTTTATGAAGATAAGAAAAACTTCTATACGTACCAGGTCAAAAGCAGCAAAGGACTGCAAGTAGTAATAAAAGGTATAGAATCAAGTGTACCCATTGGTAATATTGCTCATGCTCTAGAGAAGGCAGGATTTTCTGTTAAAAATGTTGTCAATATTATCAACAGAGCAAAAATCGCTCAGCCTATGTTTAAGATAGAACTTAAGCCAGAAACAAAGCCAATGAATAAAAACGCAGTGCACCCAATCTACAACCTACGATACCTTCTACACCGAAGAATAACACTGGAGGAGCCGCGCAAGCGAAACGGTCCCGTACAGTGCACAAATTGTCAAGAATTTAGGCACACCAGAACATACTGTACCTTGCGCCCAGTGTGTGTTGCCTGTGGCGACCTTCACGCTTCCGCTTCTTGCGAGGCTATTAAAGCTGATGTGGCTGTAACGAAATGCAGTAATTGCGGGGGTGACCACACCGCCAATTATAGGGGATGCCCTGTATACAAAGACTTAAAGTCTCGCATGAATTAATCTGGCAACGTTCGTACTGTGCGGTCACTTAAACTTTCGCTTGAAAGAATTTCCAAAGTTTAACTCTTTTACAAAGTGCTAAGCAGTTCTAATTTGTGTTATTCACACCGAAAAAAGTTTACTGAAGCCAAATTCCAATAAATTGACTTGATTTAGTCATAAAGTGCGTTGATTGAAAAGTTTTATTTTGTCGGCCTTCGTGCATATTTGCCTGTTTTGGTGCATTATTGTTGCTTTTGCGTGAGAGTGTAAGGAATATCGCATTTGTTTGTTCATTTTGCTTTCTTTCGCGCTTTACACACACCTTTGTTTATCATCGACAGTCGCTTTCTTGATGACTGCTGATTTTGCTAACTCAGTGGCTTTAAAACTGTTAAGTTCAGCTCGGTTTCTAACCGCAGAGCTCCACAGGCAAACACCGATGGCCTACCAACTGTCATTTTGACGAACAATGTGATTGCAAGTTTTTGTGTGTGGGCACTTTGATGTCTTGAAATAAGCATTTGTGACATAGTTATCACGACATCAGTGTTTTCCTGTGGAAACAGGGCCTAACCTTTGAACTTCACTAAATAAGACCACTAACTATTAAACTGCCAATTACTGTGAGCTTGAAACGTTTTCGTACAATACATTCCTAATTTCGCTATTTTTATTCTTTTTTAATAAAATTCGCTAAAAAGGTCCTGTCTGTTCGAAAAATGTAATGTAAAAGCCGGTTCGAACCGTTTTGTGGCGTGCTGGCTTTGCGATGAACTGTCTCATTTAAAGTGTGCTGGTATTAGTGGGAGAGTTCTGGATATGATTATTGGAGACAATGGACTTCGCTGGTCATGTCCAAAGTGTAAAAAAAACTGTTGTGGATCTCTGTAAACTATTTAGAACCGCTAGAAATGGATTTTCGGAGATAAGCAAAGAGCTAAAACTTCTCAACGAGAAGTTCAAGAAGTATGAGGATGAATTCAAAGAATTTAAATTATTAGATACTTCCTCCTCTCCTTCTCCTGGAAAAGGTCTTAAAAGACGTAGGAGAGGCGTGGAAAATATTGTGTTGAATTCCATCACTGTGGACCTTGATCTTCCGCAGAACCGCCCACTTTTGACTCCGGCTATGAACAAAGAACTCATAAGTTTTAACACACCGATTCCTCAGCGGACTGAATCTCCCCAACCACGTCCTTCTTCTACTGGAGTCTCACTAAATTCCTGTTCAACAGCTTCATCTTAACCCTCCACCACATCTGAAGCCATCTCCGATTGCGTCAACACCGTTCCGAAGGAAGTAGTCCTTCCAAAAACTCCACAACTACATCTCAACCCCCTACCACATCCGGAGCCATCGTTGCTCCTTCCAAAAAGTTTACAGCTGTTCCGCAACCCCCTACCACATCTGAAACCGTTTCCGATTACGTTAACCCCGTCCCGAGGGATTTAATCGTTGTCCCTTCCAAAAAATCGGTCTTTGTATCTAGGTTTTCAAAAGATACCACTGTCGATGATGTGAAGGGGTATTTAACTTCCAGGCTGATAGCAAATGAGTTGCATGTACGCAAGTTCAGATTCTCGTATGAAAGAAGCATTTCTTCTTTTAAAATAGACATATCCGAAGACTGCTTTGATAGAGTAATGAGCCCATCTTTTTGGCCAAGCGGTGCCTTCATTCGCGAATTTGAATTTAGATCTAGACCGCAAGGGCAAAATTTGGCTCAACTTCAGCCTTCCACGTCGGCATCAATAAACTAATAAACAACCTCACTATTACCAAAATGTGAGAGGTTTGAACACAAAGCTATCAAGGTTACACTTGCAGTCCAATGATTTTGACTTCAAAGTACTGGTGTTTACTGAAACCAGGCTCAAGCCGAATGTGTTCAACTCCGAAATTTTGTGTCCTAAGTACTGCTCTCTCTACATGCTATGGTGAAGCCCTCCGATACTGTTATTGTCCAGGGTGACTTCAATCTTGCGGATGTTTCTTGGGATCTAATAGGTGGTATTCTAGTACCAAATACCTCTCGTGATCTCTTCAATAAATTTTTGAACGATCTTTCAGACCTTAGTCTTTACCAGATCAACTCTATTAGAAATAACTTAGGTAAATGTCTGGATTTAGTTTTTGTGGACGACGTTTCCAACGTCACAATAGCCCCTAGCTATGCTTTGATTACCCCTGTTGATTCTCACCACCCACCACTAGAATTGTCCTTGATAAATTCAGGCAACTCGTGTTGCTTTACCAGTAAAAAATCAAGAGCGGAGCGTTACTCATTTAAAACAGCAGATTATAGTAAACTTAGGTTAGAGATATCGAAGATAACTTGGCCCCAGTATGATGGGAATGCTGAAGATAGTGCCTTACATTTTAGCAATTCCTTACGCCATATTTTCAGTAAAATCATTCCTCTTGTTAAGGAAGCTAACGTAACGTCTAACGCTCAGTGGTTTACTGGGGAATTAAAACGCTTAAAAAATCAAAAATCCAAAGCATTTAAGCTTTTTGAAAAATCTGGCTTATCTTCTCACTACTCCGCGTACTCCATTCTTAGGCATAAAAAGTGAACACACCAAAACTGCGACACTTTGGGAAGCTTATAACTTACCCAAAACGAATTCAATATTTTGAAATTCAAATACCATAAGTTGACCATGACCTTAGTTGAACGTGGAAGAATTTCATTTGAATTTGATTCCTAGTTGAGTTAAAAATGCACGAGTTTATAAATGATCCGGCCTTAAGTACACGTAAAGTTGCTAAAAAATTAAAGAGTGCACTATACGGCAGTTTGCAGGGTTTTAATCGGTATAAATAAGGCCTGACAGTTACGAGAAAACCAGGGAGCGGGGGTTAGCATGGTCAAAGTGATAAAAACAGTGCTCTGAAGGTCCTCCGAAGATTTTGTCGCGTTATGTTGCAAAATCCGTACGGAGATCGCAGTTTTTCGTACAAAAGGTAAAGCGGAAAACTTCATTGAGATGTTCTACAGCTCAAACAGAA